GGTATGTTCAACTTTAGAATTTGCTTAGGCATCGCTTAGCACTGTATGTTTTCAATAACAGTAGATAACAAACTGCATTTCATTTTCAGATCACCTGGCAGCCCTGGGCTCCGTTGCCGGCCGTGGTGAGGGATCACTATGAGGGTGCAATAGAGACTGCCCGTTGTCGGATCCTGTTGGAGGGCCCGGTCTGTCGGGCTTGGTACCTGGGCGAGCGTTTCTTGGGTCAGACCTTGGGTTTACCGGAGCAGATGGTGCCGGGTCCGCCTCCTGCTCACATGAGAGATACTGAGAGGTTCGTCGCCCAGGAGATGAGGGACTACACCATCGGCTGGGGTGCAGAGCATCACAGAGGCGAGGGCGACTACGCAGAGTACGTCCGGACCTACATTATGCGACCCTTGAGCGATGGTCGCCGAGTTGAGAGGGAGAGGCCAGCGGCGCCGGCAGCTGGAGCGGGAGCAGGGGTTGGAGCAGGAGCGTCGAGAAGAGCTCGAGTCCGCGGCAGGGGTGGAGTTCAGAGAGGGCGGGGGACCAGCTGGCCTGCTCTGCCCACTTTATTGACATACAGAGGGCAGGATGGGGCGACCTACCAGATCCCCTTTGCTCCTTTCCCGGCTGGTCATGAGTTAGCTGGTATCCCCGACTTGCCTCCGGTATGTATTACTTCATTTTGCATCTTGCATTGGCATTTCATTTCAGTTTATTTGATATTCCGCGGAATACTGATATATCTTGTACTCTTGCAGGCGTCCTCCGAGTACACCTGGCAGTCTGTGGAGTTGAATGCCTCCATGATGGGGATGCTACAGCGGACCTTCGACCTCCTGGCCCTCTATAGTATTCCGGTATATCCTTCTGACGACGGTCTCAAACCATTCATAAGCTGATTCACGTAATCTGATGCACGACACAACACCTGATACACTGATCTCACAGCATTTGATACACTACATACACTGTATTTATACACTGTACTCTGCACTGATAAACTGCCCACGGCATTCTCACACTGTATACTGCATTCTACACTGATAAACTGCTCACGACATTCATACACTGTACACTGCATTCTGCACTGATACACTGCTCACAGTATTCTGATGTATTTGCCTTTTGTGCTTTTCAGCCTCCCTTCCAGATTCCTCCGATGGGTGGTGCTCCGGCTGGGCCCTCTATTCCTGCTCGAGGAGGGCGTAGAGACGCTGTACGTCCCCGTACCAGGGGGGGCGTGTTCATATCGGGAGTAGCTCTCGGGCGCCGACCCCTGATGATGACGATGATGATGATGACGGGTCTGAGGCAGAGGCAGAGGGCGGGTCATCTGAGGAGGCTGGAGACGACTCAGACTCAGGCTCAGATAACGATGCTGATGACGATGCCCCTGGACCTTCGTCCAGGAAGAGGGTGAGGACAGATCCTCGGGCCCGAGACTACTAATGATGATCCAGATTGCTGCTTTTCTTCCTTTTGTACTTTTTTCCTTTTCTTTGTTCTTTGCTGGTAGTTAGATTACCCTGTACTGCCGCAGGCAGATTTTTGTTTTCAAAGCTATGTACTTGAAAAAGATAATGAAATGAACAAACTTTTTGCTTAAAAAGTGTTACATTTACATATCTCATGTATTGCATCGCATCACATCATGTTACACCTCAATGTGAATGGAATTGACCAGTTGTCTGCAAACAAAATCGAGCATTTGTACTGTAATGATCAGATAACCAATTTTTTATATTTAATAGTGATTTTTTTAATTATTCTAAGAAAATATGAAATTATATCATTTATTTTCTATAATTTTCGTAAATTTAGGGGTTGTTTGGGGTGTCCTAAATAAGTGTACTTTTTGTATTTTTGGACTAAAAAGTTGAGAGAAAAAATATGGATGTTTGGGTAAACTTTTTGACTTTTTATGGAAAAATGTGTAATAAAAAATTATAAAAATTGGTTTGTAGAGGAAAATTAGAATTGGGAGTTGTGCAACCGTAATTGTTGACTTTTGGTGAATAGTATTAACTTTTTAACTTTTTGAGTAACTTTTTGACTTTTTGACTTTTCTCAAACTTCCCAAACTAGGCCTTAATATAATAATTACTTTTACTCATATTTATTTCATTGAGAATTGCAAAAGGTTTGTCTGTTGGGAAGTGAGAACTATTCATGTATATTTTCAAAATAATGTGTTTTTTTTTTTTTAATTTTTACTGTTTCAGATTATTTAATTATGGCTTTATTGTAATTTTATAAATTGGTCACACTTAAGATCGCCATCCTCGTCACTCACCGTCACCCAGAACAATAATGCTAGGAATCATGAAAAATATATCATGAAATTCATCATGAAGATTTTTCATCCCTTAATTAGTGTGTGATTAGTGTGTGGTGTCTTATTGTATATGGGTAATCTAATGATGGAGAATCTTTTATGATCATCTTCATAATATTTTTTTCATGATCTTTGGCATTACACTAGCTCTGATCTTAAAAATTATAATTTTGCAATATTCACAATTAATATTTCAATTTTTTCTCTTATAAAATTGAACCAAACTAATTTCTTCTCTTATAAAATCAAACCAAACTAAATCAATTTGACTCTATTTTCTCAACAGACAATAATTTATTTTTATTATTTTAAAAATGCTTGTTTAATTAATTACCCAATTCAATTACTCAAGAAAAAATTGCAGAAATCAATGTAAATCAGTTACATGTATTACCAAACAATCATTTTATTTGAGGGGATAAAATTAAATTGAAGTTTTTTTATTTTTATTTTTATTTTATAATTTCATGTGATATGAATATTGTAATTGAACTATTGTCCGTTAACTGATAACAGGAAAATACCACAAGGGAACTGATGTAGAGAATCCTCCATGGCCAAAAATTGGCCATCGGCCTATTTACTCCTCGGCCTGTGCGTTCATCAAGTGTTTCTACTTCAAGATCCTTTTTTGGCTCAAATATGGTAAAATATTAAATCGACCATACTGCAATTTGAAAAATAATTTGGAGAGAGAGAGAGAGAATTAGGAGTGTTTCATATCAGATCAAATTTTTAATCAAAATTCACTCGCATTTAATTATATAAAAAAGAAAGTAGAAGAGAGAATAAGGATTCAATAATCTCAATTATCTAATTGTGTATGTTTAACAAATGATATGTATTGTTAGCAGTTAAATTTTCACTTGTGTTTGATTAATTATAGGACTTTTGAGGATGACGTTTTTGTTCCCAAAACAATTAAGCCATGTTTGTTTGGGTGGATTGGATTAGCATTCCCATGACTAATAGTCCAAGACTACGAATCTGTTGGATTATGTATCCTATCTTAACTAATAGTCAAGTTTAAAATAATTAGTCCGTACCTCAATTGTTTAACCAAATATCGGATTAATAATTTTATTGGACTATTAGTCCAATCCCAAGCTCATGTCCACCCAAACAAACATGGCCAAACATGGCCTTAGTGGTGATGAAAGAAAGGCACATGTGGGCAATTGGCATCAAGAACATACTTGTTCAACATGCTTTTCTCATTATGATTATTAAGACAGTGGAAGCAAACCCCAACCAGGCCACCAAAGTTCCTATCATTAGGACTTTTGAGGATGACGTTTTTGTTCCCAAAACAATTAGTGGTGATGAAAGAAAGGCACATGTGGGCAATTGACATCAAGAACATACTTGTTCAACATGCTTTTCTCATTATGATTATTTAGATAGTGGAAGCAAACCCCAACCAGGCCACCAAAGTTCCTATCATCGAATCCCAAAGAAGAGCCATTTGGACAGCAACCTAGATAACCAAACACTACAGGAAGATACTCCACAAGAAACTCCCTCCTCTTCTTGTTCATTTACCCTCTCTTTTTCGAATACCAAACAAGGCATTGATGTGGCAAAGTTACTAAATGCAGTTACAGATAGCCTAGTTTCCTTGGAAAGCAGCAGCCAACAGAACCAAACCAAGAAAGGTACTCACTGTCTCGGTTCTTCTGAATATATTCAACATTTTATGATAATTGAACACCATGAATAAAAATTCCTTTTTCAATTAAATATTTTCATATTTTTTAAGTGCTCTGTTTTATGTTATTAAATGCGCTTAATTATGAAGTTATTGAGTATTAGCTTTAGGCCATGTTTGATAACCGATATAAATTTTTGGTGGATACACTGAATTCGTAAAACTAAGATAATTATGAACTAGTACATTAGTAACACTATCTAGGTATTTGTACTATGTTTGATCAGGGTAAAATATATAGAATGTGATATGACAATAATTATTATTGATCGTTGAGTGAAATAATGTGGCTAATTCTAAATCTCACTATTTAACTAAGTTGATAGTCTCATGGGACTATGAATTTTAAGCCGTTTACCAAAACAAACATACAATGGTCTTTCGTTTGTTAAATTTAAACTAACTTCATGTACGATTCTTTGAAAGAAATTTTTTTTTTTTGGCTCAAATAGATAGCAATAAACAATGGGTAAAGTTAAATCAGGTGATACATAGGAAATATTATTGAATTTCTGGTGTTTTGGGCTGCAGAGACACCAATATTAATAGCAGCGAAAAACGGTATCAAAGAAATAGTAAAGGACGTCCTCAAGGAATTTCCAGCGGCCATACATGACATGAATTCAGATGGGAAGAATTGATGCTCATAGAAGTGGAAAACAGACAACCCCATGTCTTGCAATTGTTGCTAAAAAGCAAATCTACAAAAAGCATAGATGATTTGTTGCACTGTTTGGATAATGAAGGAAACAGTGCATTACATCTTGCTGCAATGCTTAAAACTTATCAACCTTGGCTTGCTCCAAATGCTGCACTTCAAATGCAGTGGGAAATCAAGTGGTACAAGGTAAGCAACATCTTTAGACGATGTAATATGAGTTCGACACAATCACATAATATAAGATCACTCTGTCATATGAGGAATGAGTAATTTATTTGTGCACATTTAATGGATGTGCTATTAAATTTGCAAGAAATTACAAATTTTAATCTGGATTTTAAAGCAGTTACATGAAGATATTTTGGGAAAACAAAAATAAAATAAAATAACACAACAGTATAGTATAAATAGATATATTTGCTTAGGGATATATGATCTAAAGCCTCAACTAATTAACCATTCATATACTTGATTTAGATTTGAAACTGATCTATATTTGTAGTGCATTAAAGAGCATCTACCAAAACATTTGGTGGCACACCAAAACAACGGGGGCAAGACCGCACAAGAGATCTTCATAGAGACACACAGTGAGCTAGTGCAAAATGACACAGAGTGGCTAATGAAAACCTCAGATTCATGCACCATCGTAGCAGCACTCATTGCAACTGTCGCCTTTGCCACGATGGCAAGTGTGCCAGGTGGCACTGAAAGCAATGGGGATCCAGTTCTCCAAGCACATCGCATGTTTAAGGTATTTTCCACGTCATCACTTGGAGCGCTCTGCTTTTCACTGACAGCAGTGGTAATGTTCCTCGCCATTCTCACTTCTCGACAAAAAGCAAAAGATTTCGGTAAAGACCTGCCGACAGAGCTCCTCATAGGTTTGACTGCGCTCTTCTTATCCATAGCTTCAGTGTCGGTGTCTTTTTGCGGCGGATATTTTTTGGTGCTCAAAGATGTGGTGAGAGACGCCAAGACTATTGAATATGTTGTGGCAGTTATACCTGTGATAGCTTTTTCTGTAGCACTGTTTCCACTAGTTTAAGCTCATTTTGGCTACCATTAAGAAGGTGCCTGAGCGTGGCTTCATGGTCATTACCGGCGGTGTCGAACTAAGAGGGCATAAAACTGTAGGTAATAACTAACAGGGGCTGAGGCATCCTCAAACTTAAGAATTACCACTACAATAAATACAGGTGTGCAATAAATGCAGAAGATATTTACTTAACGAGATATAAAATGACAAAAAATGAATTTTACACGTGGAGTTTATCAATATGTGAGACCCATCATTTGGCTCGTCTCGATGGAGGACCATAAATGAAATTATTGCCCAAGTGAAAAGTTATTACCTACAGTTTTATGCGTGTATGCGTGGTTTCTAGTGTTGTTTTCCCCGTTCGTTGCTTGAGTTTGTTGATGAATAACATTGAAGTGATTTTTAAGTGAAAAAATATTTAAGACTCAAAAAAATTCTCACAATTATATTTACAATGATGTGATATTACATGTGTCAACTTTTAATTTATTATACATTTAATAATATATAAAATTCTATCTCTTACCACATCAATATGGATGAATTTATAAATTAAAAATATAGATATATCTAGCATTACTCTTTTAAGTGATGGATAAAAACAAGAATTAAAAGGGGGTAAAGAAAGTGAGAACGGAAGAAAATTATATTTTAAAGTGATACGTTTTTTTATTCAATTGAAGGGTTAGATTACAAATTCAATAATAAGAATTGTGATAATTTAAATTGTGTTCTAGTGAGAAATTTTATGTGATACGCATTTAAATTATTAAAAAATGTTATATTTTTTATTCTATTTTTTTAGTATTAAACAAAATAAATAAATAAAGAAAAAATTGATGATAAATTCAAATTAAAAAGTGTGTAAAATATTAGGTTCAATAGATATTTTTTGTTGGTGTAAAGTCTACTTTTCATAAAATTATTTGGCGAGAAGACATTTTATTTCTAATTTTACTCCTTAATCCATCTAGTAACTTTTTTTATTTGATGACTTTCATTGACTATCTGTTCAGTTTTTTTCTTATCTGTTCAAGTTTTTTGCCTATCTGTTCAAATCAATATCTATCTATTCATATTCTCCTCATCTGTTCAAATTTTGCTATCTGTTGAAATTTTTCACCTACTCTGCTGAATTTTTAGATCTATCTATTCAAATTTATATCTATATGTTCAATTATTTTATTTAATTTTTCTGTGTTACAATAACAAACCAAACAAAATCCTATCTATTCAAATTTGTTCACTTCTCTCTCTCATCCTATCTGTAAAAATTCACAAACTTATTATACCTATTTGTTCAACTATTATCTAAAGAAAAGTGCATCTGGGCAACATTTGTTGAATTTTTCACAATATCTCTTCAACATGTGTGCATATCCCAAATAAAAGAAGCTAAGAATTTAATTCTGTTTTTTCTTCCTATCTTTCCTATATTCTTTTCTTTTTTTTTCTCCAAGATCCAGAAACAATGACAATGCAAACATTTTTTCTTCTATTTAATTTTTATCTGTTGAAACTCCTGTTCAATTTTTCTTCTGTTTTCTTGTTGAACTTCTTCGCAAACTTGCCTTTTCATCCATCATCAGACAAGAGAGAGTAGCGGATCCATCATCATACTCTCCTCATTTCTCTGTTTCTCTCTCTAAAAATACAGAAGAGATAAAAAAAGTAAAAAGTAAACCTGAGAGGAGAGAGATGGAGGAGAATATAATGATGAGCAACAAATGGATATCAATAGTGTCAAGCATATGAATCCAATCCACCAGTGGTTTATCTACACTTTCCTAATCTACTTTTCCTCCGTCAAATCCTTCCAATCCTACTCTCAATCCAGTTCCATCCTCTCTAAACACCAACACATACATACATACATACATACATACATACATACATACATATATATATATTCATACATTTCGCATTCAAGTTCACACAGAGCAAAGCTGGTGAAGCCCTTTTCATCCTTCACTCTGGTACTGTACTTCTCATCTTTGATCCAGTTATGTCTTAACAACTTATAACTTATAACTATGAATCTAAACTGATTTTTGACTTATAAATTAAGCATCTCCTGCCCCACTCAAAGAATAAATTAATTTCTGCCTTACAAAAAGTTATAAACTGCATTGTTAAATTAAATTAAATCCATCAAAATAACTTTAATTAAACTGAAAGCTGAAATAAGCAATTTTTAAGTTGCAGCAAACAGGCACAATATACCTAAATCCCAAAGATCAAACGATCATCAATCAATCAATTCACCCAATCAGAATGAAAAGGACAGAAACTAGAAATTAAGAAACCTGGAATGGATCCAATGGATTGGACAGCGCAAGGATGAACTGGCCGATTAGACGCCACGGTCGGACCTTGCCGGAGTATTCGTATCCTACAGTGGCTGAAATCAAAAGTCAATGGAGCAAGTAGATCTCGATGAAGCCGAACCAAACCTTGATGTTGAGAGCCAAACAAGACCTTGATGTAGCCGAAGGTGTAGATCTCAACGGAGTCGGCGTAGATTTCGTGTGCTCTGATCTTGCGATCCAAGCCAAGAGGAACTCGATCTGACCAGATCTAGAAGGACTGTGGTTGATGGGGGGAAGAAGTCGCGATGGTCGATCTGAGCTCGTCGGGAGGCGTGGTGGCTCGCAACGGGAGCTCGGCGGAGGTGTGGAAGCTCTCCGGCGAGACGACGTTGGTGAACCGAACGTTGCCTCGCCTCGCCACGTGGAGTTGTCGTGGAGCCACCGCTGAAGGGCGGCGATGAACAGTCGAACAGTGAGGAGAGAGAGAGTGAGAGAGCGACTGTGTAGGCTTTTGAATGTGACCGTACATAGGCGGTGTTTGGGAAAGATTTTTTTTTGGTTTTTTTTTTGTTTTTTTGTTAAAAGATAAATTGGTTACAGATTTTAAAAAATTAAATTTAAACAAAATATCACATTAAATTTCATAATTATTTTACTTTTTCTCTTATAAATATCACATCTAACCATAAAAAAATTTAACTATCTTCTCAAATACAAATTTTTTTTTTCTAATAATATCTTATAACTAAAAAAACTTACAAAAAAATTTACTTTCAAAACATCCACATAGTATCGAATCAGGATCCTCTCCTTAAGCTTCCTACTTGACTTCCTACTTGTTGAGCCATTGGGCCTATTTTTCGGCTCAATTTTGATAATTCAAATTGTTCACATTTTAAAATTTGTTGAATATATCATACATGTAAAAAATCAAGTTGATCAGATATTAGAAAACATGTGTTCGGATCATCGAACTAAAAATTATTTTTTTAAAAAATTTAATAAATAGTTTTTCGAAAGCATACTTTCTGATATCCGATTAACTTAAAAAATAAATGTCTCGTAGTTCAAATTTTGTGGCTCAAAAGTGACTCAAATGGCCAAAACGACGTCGTTTTGGCCATTTTTATGTTGTTCTATACTCAAAACGACGTCGTTTTGACCATTTGAGCCACTTTTGAGCCACAAAATTTGAGTTACGTAGCATTGTCGAATTTTTTATAAATATGATATACTCAACAAATCTTAAAATGTGAATAGTTCGGATTATCTAAATTGGGCCTAAAAGTGAGCCGAATGGCCCAGCGAGTAAGAAGTCCCGTAGAAACTCCAAAGAGAGGATTCTGATTCGTATAGTATCAACAAGAATGATTTATACTATTAATTTTGGTACTCTAATAGAATATTAATGATATAATAAGAAAAAAAATAAAATCAAAAAAATTAAAATCAAAACATCATATCATAGATGGGTTCTACTATCAATTCATTAAAATTGATTTTAAAGTTCAAAAATTAGAATTACAAAGTATTTTTTTTTAGAGCTCTTGAAGCTCTAAAACATTTTTCATATAGTATATATATGAATGATGGATATTTAGATTATTTTGTTTTAATTTATCTTTCTGAACAAAATATTTTAATATTAAAATTTTAGCCAAATAAAATTAAAAATTAAATTTATAGATTGAATCCTAAATTGTTTATATATAATAATACTTTAAGATGTGGTTTTAGATGTTTTAAATAAGTGTAATTTTTATTTTTTTATATAAAAAAAATATGTAAAAAAGTAGAGAAAGTAAGTAGAAAAGTAAAGATGAAATGTTGATAGATGTTGATAAATACTGATTGATGTGATCCAAATAAATATATATATATGTAAAAAAAATTACAGGGTGTGTTTGGTTTGTGTTTATAGAGTAGTTTTTGAGATAAAAAGTACAAAAACTTATTGGGTTTGCCTTTTTTCAAAAATGGTTGTGGAAAATTATTTTGGGGAGAGAGTTTTAAAAAAAATGATTGATTTAATGTGTATGAGAGAGAAAGTGATTTTAGAAAGTAGGTAACCAAACAAAATTTTGAGATTTTTTTTGAAAAAATTTGTTTAGTTTGATTACTCTTAAAAATTTGTTTATAAAGAAATTTTTCCAAAATTTTTTATGAAAAAAAACCAAACAAACTCACATTTTTAGTATATGCCAAACACCTACTAAATTAATTTTCACTTTCCTCACAATAAGGAAAAGCTTTGATTGGTAATGGTTAGCTTTTATCCACTTTAATTAAATGATAGGCATTATCTTTTAAGACATAGACTCCTGATATGAAGAGGAATTAGATTTCCATTATGATTCTACCTGGCAAAATAAGCTCAGAGGCAAACTCTAAGGAGGTATCGCATGTTTTGTTACTAAATTTACAGAGCTTTTTCCATATAGATCTTGAGACCTAACTTAAAACATTGGAGGGGTTTTTTTGCACACACCCGTCGGATAGCTTATCAGAGTTGTTTTGTAGGAGAAACAACATCATTTAGAGGATTTTGAGCTTGATCACAAGGAATACACGTGTAACGTATTTTTTGTGCTCGTACAATTACTAAGAGTGCCATATAAATGTATGGTTTTTTATGAGTTGGAAGATGCATGAGACACAAAAAGATGATTTGAAAGATAAAATATTTTATGAGAGAGTTCTATATATTTTATATTGTATTTTGGGCAACTTTAGTTTGTGACTTAGTTTGAGTTTCCTGGTAGTCGTGAACGCTAGATAAGGGGTACTGTGAGTAACATGGATTTTATCTTGAAACAGCTTCATTCTGGTTGTACTTTCACAAGGGAAGGAAAAGCAACTTTAGGACAGTGAAAATGCAACTCCCAAAGTCTTACAACTATGTTTCTCTACTTTGTCTTTTTTCTCTTTCTATATACTATTGTTTATCGTCATTGTTGTTATAATAATTTTGCTAAATATCCTGTTAATTATATTGCTAGACTAACAGATGTCACGCTAGTAGTAGTGAAATGACAGCAACGAGGAAGCTTTGACAGTGGTGGTGATGAAAGAGATAGAGATGAGAGAGAATATGAGGAGGAGAAAGCGAGAGGGGCGGCGAAGGAGGAGGAAGAGGAGCCATAAGAAAACAAAATGAAAAGAAAAAAATTTGCTACTAAATATTTAGTAGTAAAAAAAGAAATGAGATTTTATTCGACTAAATAATTAGTAGCTAAAAAAAATAAAATGAAAAACAAATTTTTTTTGCAACTAAATGCTTTTGTCCCTAAATGTAATACTATTGCAACAAAACTTATCCGTGACTAAAAATTTTAATCTCTGAAAGCTAAAATTGTTGTTCAAAATTGTGAAATTAAATAAATAGATTTATGAAGAAAATAAATTATATACCAAGAACATATGCTGATAATTACAACTAAATTTCAACAGAAATACACAAATAACAATAAAGGGTAAAGAGACAAAATCGAAGCTTGCACGGAAGCAGTTTCCTTAAAACAGATTTCGCCGTCTCACAGGTCGAGTGCTTGAGGAAACCCGGCGTCTGTCTCCCAGGATACGACGATCAAAACCAGCTACGGCAGAAGCACTATCTGTCTAGCTTAGCGAACAAAATAATTGCAGCACTCTCTCACAATAGGAACTATCAAGCAAACTGACTTGTAAAATGGAAGCTAAAATTTTCTATATTGAAACTTGACAGGAGGGTCTCAATTTATACATGTATAGGGGAGAGAGGAAAAGCCTCCAGCCTTTAAGGCTAGTCATTAAAACACCAAGCATCCATAGCCCCTTTCCACAAAATGAAAAGTATGGATGCCCAAAGGATTCACACCCTTTAGCCAAGAAAAAAGATTTAAATACTCTTTAAAATCCTATTCATGAATCTAACATCATGAAGCAATTTCTTGATAATTTCTTATTCAAAACCCAATGGTTTTTGGCTCACTTGGACCCTACACAAAAAATGGTTAGGACCCATTTTAATATTTAATTAAAGTCACCACACTTTAATATTAAATTAAAGTCCCCAAAAATCATTTTTTCCAACAATCTCCCACATGAATAAAAATTGACCGAATGACTCAACAAACGGACATCGTGCAACAATAACGACTCTGAAAGAGAGTACAACGGACTAACCCCGACATCAGAGAAGGTAGCTTTTGGCTTTGAACCTCTCCCAGTGAAAACCTATCGAGTTTACTGGCAGATCAGTGAATAAGACATCTTGAACTGCTCTACCGTAAACCGAGACAATAGATCTCACACGGGAATTACTCCTATCACCATTATGTTCTCACTGGTGTGCCCTGTGTGGCCCTGACACTAGCCTGGTTCAGCGAGTGGTTTCAAAGAATTTTGGCCTGCCCAATTCTTCTAGAAGCGGCCCCACTTCAAACTCACATAAGTGACTCTACTAAAGTATCCTGCAATACTTAGCTCAATAGCTTAACACATAAGAGTCATTAAAAGCTCAGCTTATCCTCTACACTTGCAGGTATCACTAATAGAAGGAATGGCTGGAGGTTTAACCTCCTCAGTGATATACCACCGTTACACGCAATTAGGTTGTCCCATTGAACATAGATCTTGGGATCTCCAGTCAACCAGGTTGGGTTTCCATTCCGGTAACTTCCAAAGGCCTTAACCCCATTCATTTTGACGACGTTTCGACTAACACTCGACTTAACCCTTTGGTTAGCGGATCCGCAATAT